GCAACCTCTCTGCTCCCATCTGAATAAACAGCAAAATATTAAAACTTCACTTATTTTCACGCTTAGCATACTTCTTTTATTCTTCTAAGTGTTGGTGTTTGGGGAAAATATCACTCAGAGAATAGGACTGTGCTTTGAAAGGCCTTCGTAAGGTTCTTGGGAGATGGCTCAGCACATTTCGCTCTTATAGAGCACCTGAACTGCACTGTCAGCCTTAGAGTTAGGCAGCTTCCACAGCTGTGACTCCATCCATCTCCAGGGTGTCTGATGTCCTTTTCCACGGCTTTGGTACCACATTCACAAGCACATACCACCCCCTGCAAACACAAACATGCACACATAATTAAAAATAAACTTATAGAAGGACTTAAAAATTCTTTGGTGGCTCTAACAATCTTGGGCTCACCATTCCTGTCACGGTCACGTGAGAGTTCCCAAATGACCTTCAAGAGCCACCTTACTTTCCACAAGACATTAAAAAAAAAAAAAAAAAAAAAAAAAAAAAAAAAAAAAGGCCTTCCTTACGTGGCTGTTCCCTGTGCAGTTTGATGTTGAATTTGGAGGAGACATGCCCAGAGAAAAGAAAATGAAGGGAAGGTAGAGGAAGGGCTTACGTGGCTCTATCTCCTTAGCCACGGCTGAAGTAGAGCAAGGTTGTATCATAGAAGGATCCTGATGGGAGATGCCATTCTGTAAGTATGTTTTCTTATTGGTTAATGAATAAAGCCCTGTTGGCCAATAGGAAAGCAAGATAGGCGGGACTAGGAGACAAGAAGGTTTCGGGGTGAGGTAGGGGGGGAGAGTCAACATGTAAGATCAAGAGAGCAGAGGTCCGAGCCCTCTCTCTGGTGAGATGAGACCACGTGGAAGTACTTAGATGAATAGAAACGGGTTAATATTTAAGACAGAGCTAGCCATTAAGAAACACTAGTAATTGGCCAACAATAAGAGAAACATATTTACAGAATGACATCTCCCACCATCCGTTATCTTACGATGCTTGGTCTTGGGAAGAAACTGAATGCGGGGTCCCTGCTGTCTTCACATCCCTCCATGCAGACTGTCTAGATGTACAACAGGGAGACCAGCATGCACAAGAGACCTGTGTTCATTAAAGGGTGGTGATGCCATTTTACAAGCTCCCGCCTTTGGGGCTGTGTTACTTGCATTTGATATTTTGAGACGGGAGTGGAGATAAAGGAATAGGCCCTGCCTGCAGGAGGGTTACTAGTCACAACTAAATCGGTCTGGGACAACAGATCCTGATAGTTACCTTTGTCAGTGCCCAGTGTTTCATATCCAGATACTCCAGATGGTAACTAGACGCCAGGCTGGTAGCCAGTGAGAGAAGCTCTGTTGTGAGCAGTTTGGGGGAAATCTGCTATTGGGGAGAAGTGGCAAGAGCTTCCGATCAAATGAGTGCGGTAATCCAGCTTAAGAGTTTAAATTGGTTGTTATTTTGTCACGCTACTCAACAAGGAGCACTGACAAATTTGTTTAACACGTCTAAAGTGAATACCATCATTAATAGGTTGAAAATTCACATGGTATGTAACCACGAAAGAAAAACCAGATTGTCCAAAAGTGTTGAATTCTCCCCTAATCCAAAAGACAGAGTTAATTACTAGAGGTGAAAAATATCTATCACCCACGCCAAGTTCTTATCAGAGTACTGGATCACTAGAGCTTGGCACGAAAATCAAACACCTCTAGGTGATCTGTTAACCTAACCTAACGCCTGACTCCAATTCCATATCCGCACACCAGGAAGTATAGCAAAATGGTGACTAGGTTTGGCTGGCCAGGATGGATGCAGTCCATCCGTTCCTTTTGAGAGGCCATCATATCTTCACACTTTGAAAAGTGCCTGTGGCTGGACATGTGCTCAGTGGTAGAGCACTTGGCTAGCATGTGTGTAAGTGTAGGTTCAAGGACTTGTGTGCTAGGCAGAGAAGATGGAAGAGGGAAAGGTGATGGGGATGGAAGGAGACAGGGAGGAGGGGGCAGAGAGGGAGGGGCAGAATGGGGAGGCATTTGCCTTTCTGTGGAGGTCCCCCAGTGAGTCGGACTGGTCAGCATCTTGCAGCCACAATGCAGGATTGTAAGATAACCTCTCTGTCTGCCTTACTTAACAAACAAACAGCAACAACAAAAACAGAAGGGTAATACACTTTGCCTCGCAGTGACTTATTCCTATACACAAACATGTGACAAGACAATTTCATATTATGTTTTGTGCCCAGTGCGCTATGACATTCATATTATTTCTTGTTAATTTTCTCGTTAGTGATGCCAGGTCAGACTCTAATGCTCAAAAGTGTCACTACTAAATTCTGATGACCTCATAGCACAGGCTCTGGCCTCCTCTTTGTTCTGGTTAATCTCCACTTAGGTCGTTCGTTCCCATTCCCTGGGCTTCCCATACCTGGATTTTCAGAGTGAATCCTCTTGCGTGGGAAAGCTGAGCCTGTGAACCCTGTGATGCTTGCTTCTCAGGGTGTTCACTCCATGGGACTCACTGCCTTTGCTGTCATTCCTACCCGATTTCCCTCCTCCTCCAAACTCCAAGAGAAGACTAAGGGAACACTATCTTAACATTAGTTACAGTCGGCCAATTGATTATTTCCTGTCTTCTGGCATCCATGGGCCCCTGAGTTTGCTTGCATGTATGCTTTGCCCCTCTGTGCAACTCTAGATTCTGTTTTCCAGCAGCTCCTGCTTCTTTAAGTAAAAGTTTCAGCTTCTTTAGGGCCATTGTCTTCTCTGCATGAGCCCTGGGGGAAGGAGTTTTGAAAATTCACTCCAGCTTTAAGCCATCTGACTTTGGACAACTTTTCAATTTGAATTCAAAAGCATGTCTTTGGATATTTGAATCCTGATAAACTGCCATTCCATTTGTAAAATGGTAAGAAGGAATGCTTGTATGAAGTAAGGGAAGGGTGTGTACTTTTCTTCATGTTGGACGTGGGACACCTTCATCATTCACGATACAATGTTTGAGGATTTTACCCTTTTACCTTTAAATATAGGTCCTGTAATTTTTTGAAGGTTGCAAATGTGCCCGTAAGAATAACTGATCAAGTTATTTAAATGTCCAGTCACCAACCATGATAGATAGAAAGTTACCTTAAAAATATAATGATAAAAGCTTTAAGAGTCAAAACTAAATTTTAAATCATTGAGGTTTTTTTTTTTTTAAAAAAAAAAAAACATTTTGGTGTTTACATGCAGATATCTAGATGCCCTGTGTCACCTGTATTAATTGGTAAAATCTTATCTTTGTTGCATATGAAAGCCAGGAATGTGTGCTGTTATCACATATCTTTAGTAGTAACAATTCTTTGCAAGGACACAATAAACAATGCTACATTAAAGTTAGAGAATATAATATTTTTCTGTGGCTAGACTGAAAATTTGTGTGTTTTTCAAATTCACAGATCTGTATATTTTACTAGGCATGTGTGTAATTTGCTAAGCTGTGTCCTGAGGACACAGTTACACTATAAATAACCTCATAAGCAGTTTGAAATAGTGGTAGATAAAAAAAATCAACTTTTCAAATCCTAGGAAATAATGTGCAAGTTTTCACCACAACCGGGAGAAATCTATCAATTGTAGATTTAAAAAACAAAAAACAAAAAACACATGAACTCCAAAGTTTTCAACTATGAAGCAAAAAATTATTTTACTCTTTATATAACCTAAGACTTAAAGAATGAAATCTTTTCCAGTGGCTGAAGTAAGAATGTTATTATTATTCTCTCAACACACACACACAAATGCACTGGGGTGCTCAATACTGATGGCCTAAATGCATTTCAATACGGAGATTCCTGCTTCCTTGGAATGCATCTTATGTTACATCACATGTAACTGAGCTATAGTCCTTGTCACCAGCTTAACTTTCCTGTTTGCATTTGAGCCATAAGATGGAGAACTGCTGGCGATACTTGTGTGTCTTCATGTAACTGCAGGCCTGGTTTATAGTTTGTCACTGACAGTGGGATCCCAGTTAGCAGAATGTGTTGTGTTGCTGGGATAAGACTCTGCTTTGAGACTGTTCTTCCTGGAGGACTATCCTGTGATCTCTCTCTTTGAGAGCATCCACGCCTAACATGCATTGCAGAGGCACCAGGTTGAATAGCAAAGGCTCTCTGGATCTCAAGACAGGTACAAAATAGGAAACTGGGCCATGTAGAACACATACGTGCTATAAAGGTCAACTGCTTTCTAATGCAGACTGTTCAACTTCTTAAAGACAACTACATGAAGTCAAAAGAGAGTTTGTGTCAGTGTTTGATGTCCATGTTTGCTAAACCTATGCTTGAGGTTGGATACTGTATCCTTAGACATCCTTATGAAAGTGAAGTACCCTTTAAATTCATCAATTCTTTGTTGAAGCAACTTGTCTTTGTTGTTAAGAATTAGTGTGTGTTTTAGAGTTTCTTTTTGAGATGTGTCTGTTTCTATCATGAAGTTGATCAAGTTGCAAGCATCCAGGAAACGTTTGTCAATGCAGGTAGAATGATCACATAGCAGCCTCCCATGGTCCTCTCCTTCCGTCTTTGCCAATTTCCATACTGTTAATTGGCAGGAGACACAAAGTTCCAGATGTCCCGTTCAGGGCAAGATTGAAACAATGCAAATAAGAGAGTTACTATGTACGTGAAGATGGTTTCTCAGTAACACATGGTGAAGAACTTATGGGTGAACCTGAGGAAGCAGGCTTTGGCCAGATAATGCCAACTGCTTGCCTTCCTAGTCACCAGGGAGGCATGAGTGTGATGATAACTTCTGTTTTGTGCCCCTGAGCTCACTATTACCAATGTCCTGCTGTCTGCTTCCCAAGCAGTTAAGCTATAGAACCGCGACGGCTTCTTGTGTTCAATGTTTTGGGTGTAAGCAGAAATAGGCAGAGGAAGCATGGAGCGTCGGTGTGTGTGCTTCTGCAGAGTGTTTGCCTTGTGACTGACAGTCTCTCTCTGTCTTTTCTTCTGTAGCAGTTCTATGCTGCCCAGCTAGCCGCAATGCAGGTTTCTCCAGGAGGGAAGCTCCTAGGCCTACCCCAAGGCAACCTTGGTGCTGCCGTGTCTCCTACCAGCATTCACACAGACAAGAGCACAAACAGTCCACCACCCAAAAGCAAGGTACCCTCTTCAATAAGCTCATCTGTCTTCAACTGGGCTTCTGCTGTTCTCGCAGGGGTATTTATTAAGGTACCCTCTTTAATAAGCTGGTCTGTTTTCACTTGGGCTTCTATTGTTCACTCAGTGGTATCGATTGAAGGTCTCGTAGATTCCAGCCACTGGGCTAAACTCAGGGTAGACATGGAGGTAAGACCTTTAGAAGGAACAATAGCTGTGTGTGTATATTTACATTTGTAATAATGGACTCACTCAATAGTTACACTGAAAACCTAAAATGTGCATTGAACCAGTGAGTGTAAAGCTTTAATAATAGATATCTATAAGCAATCAAATAGCCATCCTTTATAATCTAAAGAATGATCAATAACAAATTCCATGGAGCCATGTATGGATAAAGTATATTAGAATTTATTAGGAGGACAGAGTGGGCTTCAGCAAGAAATGCAAACGTTTGCCAAGGGAAAACAACTGAAATAGAAACTTAAGTACCAGTAGAATTGAGACATATGGAGTGTTTCTTAAAAACTATCAATAACTGTTATAACGCAGTATGGTAATGGCATAGTTGTAATTTTAGATATGTCACCCATCCACCAAGATTATCATGTAACGACATGAAGATAATAATAGTGTTGGGAGACTATTTAAACCCAGTTCTGGCTTTAGAGCTGTGGAAATATTCCCTGAGAACACAGGGAAAGGCTGGGGAGTTCAAGATCAATGCCTGGCACAAAAGCGCAGAGAGCCTTGAGCGAAAAGTCTTCCTATGTGCAGACTTCACGTGTGTGCTGTTGTGTGAACACATTAAGCTTTCTGTGAAGTGAGTGAGGCTAGCCAAAGAGCGATGTTTTCTGTAACTGCTCAGAAAAATAACCACAAATATTTAACTCTATTAGAAAATATTAACCAGAAAACTGATACCACTAATAGTTTTTTTTCCACCAAACATCTTTTATTTTTAGTTATCTAGAAATTTGCTTCTGTCTTGCATTCCAAGAAGGAGGTGTGAGAGTATCTTAGGCGAGTCGGGGTAGGGCAACCACAAAGTCTATGAATGAAGCGTATGAGTAAGATTCATCGTGAAAGAGCGTCATCTCGGTGACTGTAGAGCTCCAGGCGCAGTGGGGTCTTCTGGAAAGGGGACCATTGGGTCAGCTGTTGAAAGATTCCCAGCGTCTCTCTTCCCAGAGTTCCCAGTGCCCTTTCTCTATTGCTAAGAGAAGAACGCATTTGCTCATGAGCCTGACAGAGGAGCTGTGACTGGGCTGGAGAAAACCCTTGCACACAGCTAGACCACAGGGCGGGGACATATGCCACTAGCAAAGTGCATCTGCTGTTTGGAGGACCTCACACACCCTTAGCTTAACGTACGAGGCCCGACCTCTTTCTCTTTATCATCTTGGAAACGTGTGACGTGTTAAAGCTCCGAGGCAATTATAATAGTTATCAAATCTGGTGTAATTCTGAAGCAGTGGCATTGTGGCAGGTTCCCCGGCGCTGGCAGTTGCAAAGTGTTATATTTACAGAGACATCTGAAGCAAAATAAAGATACGGGGTGGAGTCCTTGTTACACACAGACTCCTCCGTGAAGGGTGACTCTGTTTCTCCCCCTTGATGTGTGCGCTGCCCTTCACGTCATAACCCATTAGAGTATTTCCTCTCAGGGTTGGAAACTGCTTGATTCTGTTTTATACAATCAGTGAGTTCCCCCCCCCTTACTTTTGGGTGCATTTTTATCATGAACATCTTCTCAGCCATTTCTCTTATACAAATAATGAGGAAATATTTAATGCCAGCCCCGTCCACCTTTGCCTGTGCTCAGTCCCCAGCCATTTATCCATCTGTCCATCCATTAGCAGGCTGGCTGGTGATTGCTACAATAATCCTCCCGTAGGTAACAATGGCAAATGCCAAAGCCACTGACGTCCTCTTTGTTGTGGTTGGGAAAGGGCTCAGTGAGCCAAGCAGTTTTATGGACTCGTGAAGTCCTGTGCATTCGGCTCAGAAGAGAACAATTGCTTTAGCAGTGATCAAATTCTCCCACATCTTAGTTGTGTACGCCTCTCTTTCATCTCACAAAAGTAAAACAGTAGATTGTGTTTCAGTTACCATGATTCACAGAATATAAGCATGTATTGTACAGTTTACCTTTGAAGCATAATTAACTTTGCAAGCCGGCCTTCATGAATTTCCTATCACACAGAGTTTAATGGCTGTGCCTCTTCCCGCCCACATTAGCACATATGTAAAGATGTAACCAAGCACAGCATTCTTCTCTTTCAGCAAGAGCAACACTTCAGTAAAAATGTGTGTTCCTTGCCCAGAGCGCTCTAGTGTACAGCCCGCCACTACCGATGTTATCAGAAAGAATTACAAAATAATGCCCGTGTTCACAAGAAAAATACACTGAATTGAGAAGAGCCATGGCACTGACAACTACATCATTTGAATGTAGCTCCCAAAATTATAACTAGTAATAAATAAACAGAACCCATTTACTCTCTTCCAGCTCAGAAATGACGCTTACATATAGCACGATGGATATTGTGACTCTACAGTGCTAATTTATTCATGAGCATTCATTTATTGGTGCATTTGTGTTTTTAAACAATCAGCTATCAGGATCTTGGGGGACATTTTCTGTGTGTTTTTGGTGTTTGTTGTTGCCGTTTCTGTGCCTGTCTTACTATCACACAATAATAATGTAAGGGCCTTGTGTGCAGACCTACTTGGCATTAATGGAATTGATGGCTTACGTTACTAGGACATTTACTCTTTGGAGCAGTAGAGTTGCATGTCAAATTCAAGGGATGACAGATGGACAGTGCTCCTACTGACAGCTGTCAAAAGTGAAGGGTGTGCTCGAGCTACCCTCATCCTGCAAATACCATTGCCTCTGACTCCCAACTCCAGAGGACACAAGCAAAACTTATTTGCAATTTGCAAAAAGAAAAAGAAAAAAAAATGTAGAAGGGGGATCAAAAGGGGGGGCTCCAAAAGACTGTAAAATTGTGCAGCGTGAGTCCTCTGATGCATGCTGTTTTCAATCTGCTGTGTGCCAGTTGGAGGCTTGGGGAGTGCGTGCGCGCAAGAGAAAGGATAATGCTGAGAAACGATAGAGTGGCTGCGACCTCCGAGCTCAGCCTGGAAATCCAAGACATTGATTTCGCTTAGCATTCCCGCTGAGAGATCTGGCGGAGTTCAGTTGTAATAAAAGAACAAGATTCTGTTCTAATGGTAATGGCGTACGACAGACGTATCACTTTGCCTGTCCTCAACACCAGAGAGAGTGGGATTGGAGAGAGGTCAGCTGACCTGCCTGGGGTGTTGTACAAGTGCTGATACTGAGCTTTGAACTGCTGCCTAGGAACGTAATTATTTATAATATTAAATGATAAAGAAAGCTTTAGAGGACTCACAGTACATGTCTGAAAACTGCATGCGAGAACTGCATTTTGTAACCGAGGAAATTCTAGACGAAGCCTGGTCTATTTAAAGTGACTAGAGAGCACTGGCTTTCCTGTCCTTGATGTCACATAGTAGTGACATAGGAGGGCTGTCCTGATCGACACCTGAAGTGGCATTGTTGGTTAACGTTGTAAACTCTTGGCTTAATTGGTGCCATGCCTGTGTGTGTGTGTGTTCAGTGGCTCATCTCCCAAACACAGTATCATGGAGAATTAAAACCATGGGCAAGTTTCAACACATCCACAGCACTTCGGACTTGTATCTTTTACCTCGGTCCTGAACTCTTCCCTGTACATCACACTTGACAGCTGTCTCTTATGTGAACCAACAGAGGCAAATATATTTATTTATCTCTTCACAAACGTTCTCTCAGCTTATCTTCAACTTTCTGTCTAGATGTTGGCAAATAGCAAGCAATAGAATGATGAAACCTCCAACGTTTGTACAAGAGATTTTGCCTTCTAGTATGAAGGAATTGTTTAGCATACTGCTGCATGATACTGGAATTGGAATCTTGCTTCAAATATGCTTGCATGCCTTAACGAATGTTTAAATTTGTTTACAGCCTAGACTCTGCCACTGAGCAGACTGATATAGGATGTGTTCAGCATTTCGCTTGTTAGTACCACACGTTGTTTATTTAAATCACTTTCTGTATAAACCAGTAGAATCTTTTGAAATTCCCCATGGGCTAACCCTTCCCTCTATTCGTAAGTGATTCTTTTTTTTTTTTTTTTTTTTTTTTTTTTTTCATTATAAAAGTAGTCACCTGTTGGGGAAAATTGAGGAGCAACTTATATATACTATTATTGAACGACTCTCTGTATTTGATGGAAACGTGCATTTCTCCAGCAGCCACAAGAACCAGTTAGTTTTAAAAGCTGATAACAGCAGAGAATTCCTGGGTGCTTTTCTTTTAACCTCACCATGACCCTCCTCGAGCTCCCATTCCCACCATCAAGAGCACACAGATTGTCCAAATCTATTTGTTGTTGTTGTTGTTCTTTGCAAATCCTTCTGGCAGGGATGTTCCCAGCAGTAGCACCTGGGAGTTAGGACAAGAGAAAGAAATGCTTGCCGGACAAAGCCAGAAATGGCCCAGGCTAGCTGACCAGATACAATCAGATCCTGTCAGCTGTAATATCCTTGTAAACATTGCTTCAGTTGCTGGAGAAAGAGTTAGAGCTTCGTGGGTATGTGCTCCACTCTCACAGAAATAGAGTCATCTTTTCCGACTTGGTGGGTGTGTGCTTGCGTGGGTCCTATCTGTGCTGCCAGTGACTCTGATTAGACACCATCTTCTTAATGGTACCGATCACACATTTTGAGGCTATTAAGTGAGCCCTCCCCCATATACCGATCTGCAGAGATGAGTTTACACTTTAGAACTTGTAAGCCTGGTACACATATCCCCAAGATGAGTTAGTGTTCAGCTGAGAGGGTGGACATCTTGATCAAAGACGGATTATGATTCGGTTGGAAATGATGGCATTTTTAGTGACTCCAGGCAGGAATTTATAATGCTAAGTGGG